GCCCCTCAGCAGTCTCTGTTTGATTCTTGCTAGGGTTTGGCCTCTCCTCCTTCTAAGATTTGGCTCCTAAACGAATTTATTTATGCATTGGGGATTATTTAGGTCCAGAGCTACAGCAATGGGAGGTGAAGGAGACAAGATCAGAGGGTGAATTTGTAGGGACTTGTGTAGAGCCTTGTGGGCAAAGAGAAGCAGCTGAGTGTCGTGGCAGAGAGAGAAGATGTTTTTTTGCAGTGGTATTTTTGAGGAATAGGAAGCGAAGAGGCCAGAAAGAGGAATTAGCAGCAGAAAGGACAAGCACTCCAGCTGTTGCAAGAAAAGCAAAGGGCTACTCGCTTTCAGAGGCTTTACTTGTGTAAATGGAGAACAGCGTTGGCTCTCTGCTTTACAAACCCTGCTTTCAGAAATAAGTTTGTCAGCCAAAGTAGAGAGAAAAAGATCAATGGATTGCAATAAACGGCATTTAACATAAAAATGAGTAAAATTTACAATCCAGTTAACTTGTTAAATGTTACAAAATCAGCAAACAATGGACACGATTTGTTTTGTTCGGAGCCCAGAGGTAGAGACCAAATCCTCTAAATTAATTTCTGCAAAAGCTGGTTTTTTTTTTTTCCAAACAGGTCTGGATCCTATTCGTTGTAGAATATACTGATTACCAACTATTTTTAAGAGCTTTACACAAACATTATTTCTTTTGTTGTGTGAAATGCAGAATCAGCCATCTGGCAAATGCCCCAGAGCTAAAATCTTTTACATGACATATAATTCAAAATGATTAAATATACAACAGAAAATAGCTATAGCATTGCACTTAAAATAGCATGAACTTTTACTGCCGATCAAAACTGATTTCTTTAGCTTAACAAGTATCCAAAGAACAATTATTTGAAGAGCTTTTAAGAGTTTCAATATGTAGGAACTAAACCTCATCTAAATTCAGTATCTTAAGTCAAATAAAAAAGAAACAAATGTACAAAAGATTAAATGGCCCTGCGTTAGAAGTAGACATTTAAATCTATGGGAAGCTAAATTCATTCGAACAAAAATACGATATTCTCTCTGAGTGTGTGTTGCTGGGGCTTCCCCCTCCACTGCTCAGGGCATCTGCCTAAAGAACTCCTCCATTCTTAGGCAGTGGCCAGGGCCCAGCCTGGGATCAGCCCATCCACCCCCAAATTTCAAAGAAGAACAGGGGAGAAAGCCCCAAACGGGAGCCCCCGGTGCACTCAACCTCCTCTCCTGCACCACTGTCGACTCGTGAAGTGAAACTTGCTGTCTTTTTTCCAGAAATACTCCAGGCCTGAAAAATTGCCAGATCCTCATCCCACACCCAATTCTCCAGTAGTTTATGAGAAAGAGCACGCAAACATCTGCATGTGTTTGGGGTACACCAGGGTAGGTACAGAAATATTACCCTGAGCAATTATCGAGCGGTTATGGCTCTTTCTCAGCTACATTTTTCAGACAAGTCAAAGTCTGCGTTTCCCAAAAAGCACTTGGTGCAAGTCAGATCTGAGCTGTAGGACAAAAAAAAAAGGTCTAAATGTGGGAGATTTCTCTCTTTCTCTCAAGGAATTTGCATACTTGGATAAACCTGAAACGGATGAACACATCGCTGCCGACTGTCCAGAAAAAAAGCTTTGCTTCCAAATTCTTTCAAACCCAGCGTGAGAACCTCCACCCCGAGGTAACAACGTGAGGAAACTGCAAATCTGTGTAAGTCTGTGATTACTAAGGCTCAGAATTCAGGTGGCTTTGCCCCCTCTCCCGAGGAGGTGGCTCAGCCTCACGACCAAGGAACCTCGGACCTTCCAACCCCAGACTTCTCTAAACTGTAAGAAAATAACGTTCTCGAATCTTGACCTTTTCAGCTCATAATGATCCCTGGAGCAGCGGGATTTTTTCCTGTTGCTTTTCACAAGACTTTCAGGCTTGTAGAAATGCTGATTGCTGGCTGGTCGGGTCTGCAGCAACACCAAACCCCCTCCTCTCGCTAAGACACTTGTCCTGCTTTTCTGGGCCTAATCCTGCTCTTAATTCAGTTCCCCGACTGAGCACTGAGTGGAAAGGCAGATTTGATATATTCCTGCTCTTGATTTTATATGAAGAGATGCAAATACATTTCAGGTAATATTGACTGCAGTACAGGAAGCTCCCCCGTGCACCCATAATAAGAATTAAACCTGAAGATGGAATATGAAAGTGGAAGTACAAATATTCTCATATTAGAGAGAGGGAAAAACATGGTTTATATTATTTAACCTGTCCTTGGGAGAACCACAGGAGAAACAAGCCAATTTTCATCAGAAATATCTTTGCTTTTCATCAAGAGAGGTGACCCAGGCAATCTCCTGAGACCTTTTCTATCTCAGTATAAAAAAAAAAATCCTATTTTTGATGGTATTTTCTCTTTGAAAGCTCTGGGCTTCTCTGATAACTGAGGGTCCTAAAATCTGTCACAGCTCTTCTTGTACCTCCCTGCTTTGCATTGAAAATAACATCTTGTAGTTTCTACTCTTCCCTAAAAAACTGGGAAATCATCCCATCTTTCAATCTGTAACTATTGGCCAATCCTTACAAAGGTGCCAGGAGTCCTATTTCTGTGGGGGGGAAAAAAAAAAGAATACTCCTGGGGAAACAGGAGCCTGGCCCCAGTATCTATTCAAAATAAACAAGGTATCTCCTTACAAACGAGCACTCCCATTCTTATTTATGTGCACTTCGCAGTACTGGAAAAGAAAGACAAGCCTGAAGAACACACGGAGAATCGAGAGAAATCTGAGCACCCCGAGGAAGCAGAGGTTTAGGGACGGAGCAATGAGAATTTGGAAGGCTTTGCTAAATCAAAACCTCCGGCAGAACCGGTGCCGTCGTTTCGTTCCCCGGGCCGATTGTGTTTTCACGCCGGGCCTTTGCTCTGCTGCAGCAGCGAGAGAGCCCTTTGAGGAAATGAGGCTCAGACCTCCGTGCAGGGAAAGGGAAAGGCAAGGCCTGCCAGACCTGTCAGGGGGCTCCGCGGTGCTCGACATCCTCTCACCCGCACGGAGAAGGGCTGGGAGCGAGCTCAGGGCTCTCAAATGGCGCCTGTTTTCTTCTCCTCTGGAGCGGCACCGGGATGCTGCCAGGCTGCAGGCGAGGCAGTGCCAAGGGCTCCTCGCCCTCTTCCACAAACAGCCGAGAAACAATCAGAAATTGCTTCATAATAGGGGTGAAAGGTGAGGACTGGAGTGTTCTGCAAAGCCGCTGCCAGGGCTGAGGAAGACACTGTCATTTTGGTAAACCTGTCAAGCTGTTGTAAGAACTTCCTGAATGCTTCCTACCATCTGCTTTTGATGCTTTCAAGACTTGGCTGGAAGCCTGGAGGTTTTCCTGCTCCTTCCTGCCCAACCTATAATGGAGTAGTTCTGGATCTGTTCCCTGTCATCTCAGCCTCTTCCTCAGTTTCTTCTGCTTACAGCTGGAGTTTCTTTTTTTTTAATTCTTTTTTTTTTTTTCTCTTTACTTCGGTGGCCTTGTGCCCTGAATCATCTCTCCTGGGGCGGGAAGAGTTCCTCTGATGTTGAACAAGTGCCGGGTGTTTCAATTGTGTTCATGTTCTTGAGAGGAAGGGTCTGGCCTACATGACACATTCCTTCTTCACACTCACATCAACAACTTTGTGTCCAGGCTCTCACTGGAAGGGCCACACAAAGCCCATCTCCACGACTGTCAGGCCTCCCGCTGTGCTGGGCTGCCGAGCCAATATTGATTGATATAATTTGTAGGGTTTGAGATAAATGTCATAAAGGACAATGAGTTCAAAGAACAGATTAAAAAACAATAAATTGAATTCCAAGGCGTTCCCTCCTGTACTAATCTGTGTAGGTTCCTGTGTTTTTGGAAAGCATGTTGCTTATCTTCCTCATCAGTAGGCCCACTGCATTCCAGTATTTTGGATCAATGCCATTTGTAATAATCTGGATCAGTTTTTATTCAACGTTTATAAAACAGGCCATGTATCATAGGGTATATTTTATAGCAGATGGTATCTCCAATTCATTTAACCCCCCTTCACTTCCCTCCTCCAATATCACAGTGCACACTTACAAAAGCTCTTGGAAGTAGAGCAGGGCAGATTTCTTTCTTTTTTTTTTTTTTTCAACAAATAGTAAATTTGCTGAAAAATGGAGTTTCCAAGCAACAAAACTGTTAAACTGTGGCACGCTGAAAATGAAATGTTCTGGTTTTGAAAAAAAACAGGTTTTGCAATTTGGACATTAGGGGAAAAAAAAAAAACCAAAACCACAAGGTGGGTGGTTGCTTTCATTTAAAAAACCTCTACGTTAAAAAGGTGATAAACACAAAGGTTAAATAGCCAGAACACAACCTGGGGTTTTTTTCAGGTCAGATTATGTTTCTTGAGCTATCCCACTGTCAACTGCTCGGGGATCTTCTGTGGTTTTTTAACTCGAAAAAGTTTCTCTTTCGTTTTGATGAGAATGAATTTTCCCCAAGGCTTATCCATCTGGGGACTTACCCACCAGACCCAGCATTGGCCAGACTCTCCAAGGTGAAAGTGTCCTGTTCAGGAAGGTAAGACTAAGGCTAATTTGAATAAATTGGACTCTTGTAACATGCAGAGATAAGCACATGCTTGAGCACTTTGCTGGTTCCCAGCATGGAACTTTTTAGCTTCCAGGATCGATGGTGTGCCCCTCACAACCACTCCCTTGCTTGAGATCATAATAGAGGAGACTGAAGATTTTTCTGAGATGAACATACCAAATGGTAATACAATATTTTTATTTGTATCTGCTTGGGAATACTTCACTGTAATTTTGCAAAATATGATTTATACAACTCTGGGGATGCATAAATCACTGATAAATAAGTAAAAGATATTTTAGCTCGGTAATAAGAGAACCAAATCATGGAGTTGTTTATGTTTCAGCTTTAATCCTAGAAGATAGGACAAATAAACTCATTTTACTTTACCTTGTAAAAGAAGTTAATCTTACCTGCATTTCTTAGAAATCTGAGTTTGTAGTCAACAACAACTCTGGTTTCAGGATTATAGAATCCATCACCACAGTCATAACAACCTTCTGGGATTGTTCTGGGAGGATCCAGATTTGTAAGCTGAGGAATGCCTGAAAGAAAAAAAAAAAAAAGGGTTGATTTTGGTTTTTTGGATTCTTTTTTAAATTTGAGCCTTTGATAACTAACAAATACATTTCCGTGGCCTTCGCTATAAAAACAATGCCGCTATTTTACAATAATTTTGTACAACATTCTTCCAGTTTTGCAGGTAGAGAAAACGAAAATGGGAAAATGCACACACAAAAAGTGTGTGATAAGAAGCTGACACTTTGATTTCCTCACTCACAGTCCTGTGATTCAGCCCACCGAGCTGACATTACAAATACAAAATTCAAATATAAAATTCAAACCGAGGCCAGGAGAGACTCGCTGGCCTCACAGCACTACATGTCATCACTAAAATATTCTATGTATAGAGTACCGTGTGTATTATGTTACAGATTTTATTCACTTGTTTCCTTATAAATCTTTCCACCATTTGACTACAGACAAATAATGACATTATAAAAGTCCTCGGCAAAAATCCGGACGGGACACCAATGTCTGCTTTGGCACGTGCTGAAAAGCTACGTGGGGCAGACAATGGAAACTTTATTTGATATCTTGAATTCCAATTGCTTCTGCTCGACTTTCCTGTCTTTAAAAGCGCCCTGCTGATGCAGTGAGGGCGAAATGTGTCAAAGGGTTAATCAGGGTATCAGAAGCTGTAAATAAAGCCCTGTCCTGTGGGTCATCTCTCCAAGAGCCCCCGCTGTGGAACTGCATCCCGGGCTGTGCTGGTGGAAGGTGGTGTCCACATTCTTCTGGCAGCGTCCTGTGAAATTAGCCAGAGCCTTTCTGCTCCATGTTACTCATGAAGCCGAATTAATCTTTCTTAGGCAAAGTTGTTGCTTTAATTCCTTCCAGACTCTCAGGATCGCAAAAGCGCAATTTAGTACCTGGTGGTTTGAAACCAGAACAGATTTCTGTGTAAAATCTTCTGTCGTAGCCATCGCAGTAATGCCAGTTTTTTTCTTCGTATTCGAGACCATCTGCAAAAACGAATTTCCCCTGCAAAACATGTTAATAAATTAATATGATGGATGGAGGGAACGCCAGGGCCGGGTTCCTTGGTAGAGCCCCAGCAGGGCCAGCAGGGCTCAGCTCGGGTTCGGAGCGCTGGGAACTGTATCTTTGGGATGCCCGGCATCCTCCCACACCCCGAGGGGGCCACAAATCGCCTTGGCTCGAGAATCCACGTATTGCACCTCAAAGCCTTCCCCGCAGTGGGGCCGCTCCCGACAGCGGGGGCCCCTCGGGGTGAAGCCCCCCAAGCCCGGGGTACCTGCGTGGGGATGCCGCGGATCCAGAGCGCTCGGTATCTGCCGCCGTTGGGGAAGAACAGCTCTCCCTGGCCGTGGAACATCCCGTCCCACAGCGCTCCCCGGTACTCGGTGCCCGTCGGCAGCTTGTAGAAGCCGTGTCCCTCCATCCTGGAAGAGACGGGGCGGGTGGGGAGGGGGGCTGTTCCCCACCGATCCCCCCGATCCCACCTGCCCCCCGCGACCCCCGCCGTGCCCTCCACGTGTCCCCGTGGCCCTCCCCGGTCCCCTCGATTCAACCAACCCCCTCCCCGGTCCCACCTACCCCACGCGACCCCCGCCAGGTCCCCCCGCGTCCCCATGCCCCCGGATCCCCCCGCGCCTCTTCCCGGGGACCGCTGTCCCCACCCGCTCCTCCCGTGCTGCCCGGTCCACCCGATCCTCCCGGGACCCCCCGTGTCCCCCGTTGCCCCGATCCCCCCCCGCCTCCCTCAGCTCCCCCCGTGTCCCCCCGTGTCCCCCGTGTCCCCACCTGCCCCTCACGACCCCTCCCAGGTACCGCTCCCCCACCAGCTCCATGGCGGCCCCGGCAGAGCGTCCCGTCCCCATGGCAACGGCCCCGCCCCCTCAGCCGAGGCCCCGCCCCCGAGCGGCGCATGCGCGGCGCGGCGGGCGCTGAGGGCGCTCAAGGAGAGCCGCCATGCCCGGGACGGTGCGGGTGCCCTCGCTGGAGGAGCTCGATGTGCAGGAGGTGAGCGCGGCCCCTTCCCCGCCCTGCCTTCCCCTTGCTTCACCACCCCTCCCACCCTGCCCTCACGGCCGCTCTTTCCCCCGCCGCAGGTGGCCGTGAGCTCGGCCGTGCTGAAGGCCGCGGCGCACCACTACGGCTCGCAGTGCGACCGGCCCAACAAGGAGTTCATGCTGTGCCGCTGGGAGGAGAAGGACCCGCGCCGGTGCCTCAAGGAGGGCCGGCAGGTCAACCAGTGCGCCCTCGACTTCTTCAGGTGAGCGGGGACACGCCGGGGCACCCGGGCCTGGCCCGGCTGTGGCGTTGGAGCCCCTCTGCTCCGAGACAGGCCGGGGGTGTTCGCCTGGAGAAGGGAGGGCTCCAGGGTGACCCTGGTGCAGCCTTTCACTGCCTGGAGGGGCTCCAGAAGAGCTGGAGAGGGACTTGTGACAAGCGGTACTAGTGACAGGACAAGGGGGAATGGCTTCCCGGAGGGCAGGGCTAGATGGGATATTGGGAAGGAATTCCTCTCGGAGAGTGGGGAGGCCCTGGCACAGGTTGCACAGAGAAGCTGGGGCTGCCCCGTCACTGGAAGTTTCCCAGGCCGGGTTGGACGGGGCTTGGAGCAGCCTGGGATAGTGGAAGGTGTCCCTGCCCATGGCAGGGGGTGGGACTGGATGGTCTCTAATGTCCCTCCCCACCCAAACCGTTCTGTCATTCTAATTAGAAGTGCCACCGCTGTCACAGCCTTCGAAGCCCTTAGTTTTGCTTCTTAAACTTTAGCTCCAGGGGATAGAGGCCACTTGGTTTGCCTTGCATCTTTATACGTGACTTTATCCTTTCTCATGAAGCCCTGTGGCTTGTGTTGTTTGTCCTCCCTGTTCCACAGGTGAACTACTGTGAAAGCTTAAGCAGATGCACCAAAGATATAGATCCAAGGTGTGGGCCTGTATTGCTCGTAGAGGACCACCTGTAATTAGCTCAAAGCGTGCCCACCTCCAGTCCAGCAGCTGGCAATCAGAAACCTCTGTTCTAAGCGTGGCTTCTTGAGCTTGAGATACCAAAATAAATTGGAAGCGTTAGAGCGTTGCATAATGTGGGGGAGCTGTGAACCTCTACCCAGCCAGAAGAATTTAATAACATTAAAGTTATTGCTACCACTAGTTGTAGCTACAGTGATAGAAATTTTGTGGGTATTTTTGTCAAGATCTGTTTAACGCTTCAAGCACTGACTTCTCTGCAGACCCAGAACTGCAAGAAACACTTTACCATAAGTTGAGGTGGGAGTGAGTAAGAGAGAAGAGCATTAAAACTGTGACAGGGGCTGAGGGTTTTCTGTGTGTGGCCCCTCGCAGGAAGATCAAGACCCACTGTGCAGAGCCCTTCACCGAGTACTGGACGTGCATCGACTACACCAACCTGCTGGAGCTGCGGCGCTGCAGGAAGCAGCAGGCAGCCTTTGACAGCTGCGTGCTGGACAAGCTGGGCTGGGTGAGACCTGACCTGGGAGAGCTCTCCAAGGTAACTTCATGCCTCTTTGGTCTCACAGTCAGATCCTCCTCTCCCTGTGGACATTTGTCCAGAGCAGCTCTGCAGCGTCCCCTGGCCAGATGGTGATTCCTGAACTCAGCACTGGAAGTTTGTGGACTAACAGAGTCAAGATTCTGTCAGCACTTTCCCGGGTTGCTTTCCTAGAAGATTTGTGCTCTTTTTAGACAGTGACACTTTTGCTTTTCTTTTAGGAGTGTGGAGACTTTTCCTTTAGGAGTGAAGCTCACACCCCTGTGGAACTACTCTGTAGTTTTGAGTGAAATGCCCCTCCCTTCACTTTCTTAAAAAGTACTCAGGAGCTCTCATCAGCTGAACACTGTGTCCTTAGTGCTGCTTGGTAGTTCTTCCTTGAAGTTCTGACTCAGTGTGTCTTTTCTGGTAAATGCTGTGGGAAGTTGTCTCATTCCTTTGTTTTCCTTTCCAGGTTACAAAGGTGAAGACAGACCGTCCTTTGCCTGAGAATCCTTATCACTCTAGAGCCAGACCAGAGCCAAACCCACCCATTGAAGGGGAGCTGAAGCCTTCTCCCTTTGGCAGCAGGTTCTTTTTCTGGACCTGGTGAAGTGGGCAGGCTGTGCCTCAGGTGCAGGGATGTGTTGCTGCACGTGTAAATTGTCCGGTGTGCGCTGGGTATAAGTAACGATTAAAGAGCCCCAAACCGTCACGTGGCTGAGCAGAGTTCTTTAAACTCCCCCTGACAGCAAGGAGAACAATGCATTTCCCTGTTTGCTCTGCAGTCACACAGCCCCTGGGACCCCCTGAGCCCCAGTCACGCCAGCGGGCTGGCGCTCACACAGCTTTGCCCATGACGTGTGCAGATGTAGCCCAGGTCTCTGACTACTGTCCCCATCAATCACAAACTGGTGTGAGACTTCATTTACCTACTGAGAACATTGCCATTTGCATCAAGGAAACCCTGGGAACAAACAAGTCGTTAATGCCTTCCTTTAGTCCCGCACCTGATAATTGTGCGTTTTTGCCAAGGGCCTCCTGCAGGGATTTGACCTGGAATCAGTCTTGGAGCACGTGCTTAGTCTGATGAGCTCAGTGCTGTTTCTGACGTAGAGAGCCCTGTTGTACTTGCCAGCTGCTCATTCCTCCTGCAGCAAGGTCAGTGGCTTCCATACTTTTTATTTTTTTACTGGGGCAACCCAGGCTACTTCACTGTAAGAATCTCACTCTGTTTGCAGCACCTTGAAGGAAAAATGGCCTTCTGAAGGATCTTGTGTCCCATTGAGCAGACACAGATTCCCTGTAAGAAAGTGGCTTCCATTCTGTCTCAAGGCCCTGACTTGAAGGGTTTGGGGCAGATCCTTCCTGTTGTTCCATTGTGATGTTCTTTTTGATAGAGGAGTCAATCAGCTTTTTAAAATCCATCTTTTCTGTGATATCTGAAAGTGATACATTTCGTGGGAATTGGATCTGATCTCCCATTCGCCTCTACCCAATAGCAAAAACATTATTACAAGGTCAGAAAAAAATCCAATGAACTTGTTTTCCCAAAGCAGTTTAACTTGCTCTGGGTCAAGTTGTGTCACCTGAGCCACGGCAAAGAGTGGAACTGCTCCTTGAGTAGCCTGCTGTTACCGGGATCTGGAGACTTAACATCTCCTTGTTTGAGGTAGGATTAAACCGTAATGGGTCTGTAGCTGCAGCATATGTTTCTGATCCATGGAGCTGGAGGGAAAATTGTATAACATTTATCTAAAAATAGCTCCTGCACTGTGTGGCTCCTGGGTTCTTGCTACTCTCTGCTGGGGTGCGTTGACTGAAACTCAAAGCAGGTGCTCCAAGTGTATACATGTTTGCATTTTAATGTCCATGTCAGGCTGTCTGAGCAGCTCCTTGTCTAAACCTGCTAGAACCCTTTGCAGTTTCTCCTCTGAGGTCACTGCCAGCATCTCAGAGCAGCCACGTCTTGCTGAGGAAAGATAACCACTGTCTGCAGAGACTGAAATCAGGACAAGCTTGGGGTCTAATTACATTCAGCTGAGTGAGTGAAATGAGGTTTGGCCCAGCAGAGGATAAATTGTTCTGGGATGTTAACATCAGATCTTTGGTTGCTGACCCACTCCAACAGTTAGGCCACCTCACAGAAAGAGGTTTTAGATATTAAGATATCACCATGTTTCACTTACAACATACTGTTGTCAACAAAATGCACGAACCATTGCGCTGCTGAACATCTGCTTTTGAATGAACAGGCGTGGGCATTCCAGTAGTCAGCCCCTAATCATAATTAAAGAGTATTTTTTCCCAATTAATTGCTTCTGAAAAGAAGGATGTGCATAAAATAGGGGGGGCAGGTTTTTTAGACAGCCTGTTAGGAACCCCACCCTTAAGTTGGCTAATACTGTAAGCAAAAAAAAAATAAGAGTGATTTATGCTGCAGCCTCAAAGGTTTTAGATTGTTCATCTGTTTCATGACAGCTGAATCTACAGCCTCCTGGGTCAGGGGTGGGGGATCCAGGACTGATGCACTGACTGTTAAATGTCAGAATTAACTGTCTGCTGGCCTAAAGCCCCTCTTCAGTTTGAAGCAGGACTGGGCAGGTGAGAGTACAAAGGAGATCAGCAGAGGAGGACAATGAAGTCATGAAGTCAAGTAGAATTCAGCTACACAGTGAGCACTTCCTTCATTAACCTCTCTGAGATAATTGCTTCTTGTCCTTATCTCTTGGCTAAATCTCTACAAAAAGAAAGCGTTGCCAGAGGTTTTTCATGGTGCTTTGGATACAGCCTGTATGTAGCTATTTCTGCTCAAAATCCCCAAACATAGATGCTCCTTTGGAGCAGTCATGTTTTCTTGGAAACTGGAACAAGTGGATGTCAAGACGGAGTAAAGACCATAAAAGTGTTTTTGAGGAATGTGTCTTGACAATTTTTTGGCAGATGGAGAGCAGACGCCACAGATTCAACACAAATGTTTCACTGGTGCTGTGAGAAGTGTTAACTTGTTTTGCTGAGGGCTCTCAGCTCTGCCAAAGCTTCTAATCACGTGTCAAAATTAACAATATGTGAAGCCAGGGTCGTGGCAGCGTGCCCCCAACCATGCTCCTTTCTCTCAGATTATGGGTGGGAGGAGTAAAATCCAAATGTAATTTCTAATCTCAGGAAGGTGGGAGTGTGTGTTTTCTAGTGCAGCAGGAGCACAACAGCACATTTCTGAGGAGAAAGTGCCCCTCCAAGACATCTGGGAGTTTGACGTGCCCTGATCTCAAACAGCTCTGCTCGAATCTCGAGGAAAAACGCCTGGAGAAGGTACTGTTAGCAAAGAAAATCCCTGAGTCCCACAGCAGCTCCCACTCTGCTCCCAGCCATGGGGCTGAGCAAGTGCAGGGAAGGAACTGGTTTTATTTAGCTCCCCTGCAA